TTTTTTTTTTTTAACAGATTAACCTAAGGGTTCAGATGATTAGGTTACATTGTTTGTGTTTGTTAGGTAGAGTTCAATTTCTGGTTGTGCCCTTTACCTAGGAGATGTGCCTGTCAGGTGAGAGCACACCTATTTTGCTTCTTACATTCTCTTCATTTTTCTTTTAAAAATGTAACCAAACAGCTTAGTGCCTATAGCTTAGTGACTAGGGCGCCAGCCATATACAGTGGAGCTGGCAGGTTTGAATCCAGCCCGGGCCTGCCAAACAAGAATGACAACTGCAAGCAAAAAATAGTTGGGCATTGTAGCTCTGGCTACTTGGAAGGCTGAGGCAAGAGAATCACTTAAGCCCAAGAGTTTGAAGTTGCTATGAGTTGTGACACCGTAGCACTCTACTGAGGGCGAGAAAGTAAGACTCTGTCTCAAAAAAAAAAAAAAACCTGTAGAGCTTGACAAGAAACTGGAAAGCCAATATCACTTACGTTACCAGAAAATACCCCTGTTTCTGGGATGAAACAGATCCAGGGGTCTTTTTAATAAGCAGAAATGGGTAGCACGTGAGGTGGTCCCTTGGATCTGTGTCTTGCTTCAACAGTGTTTGGACAGAACAGACCCAGGGACTCTCTTTTTTCCAGCCTTTGGCAATTTTCCAGTCTCATTCTTTTCCACTTGCAATCTCTGGGACCATCTTCATGGCCATCTCCTGCTTCTAGAGCCAGCTAACACCGTTTTTTTTTTTGTGTGTGGTTAGTTCCTTACTACCGATCAACCATGAGCTCCCAGATTTGTCAAAATTATTCCATCAATATGGAGTTATTCAATCAATTGCCTGGTCAATTTGCATCTGTATACCTCCTACACCTACCTCTCTCTGGGCTACTATTTTGACCGTGACAAAGTGGCTCTGAAAGGCGTGGGCCACTTCTTCTGTGGAGGAGAAACGCGAGGGCTCTGAGCATCTCTTGAAGATGCAAAACTAGCGTGGCGGCCACACTTTCTTCCTGGACATGCAGAAGCCATCTCAAAGTGAATGAGGTACAACCCTGGACGCAATGGAAGCTGCCTTGGCCCTGGAGAAGATCCTGAACCAGGCTCTTTTGGATCTTCATGTCCTGGGTTCTACCTACACAGACCCTCATCTCTGTAACTTCCTGGAGAGTCACTTCCTTGATGAGGAAGTGAGACTCCTCAAGAAGATGGGCGACCACCTGACCAACCTCCACAGGCTGACTGTCCCTCAGGCTGGGCTGGGCGAGTATCTCTTTGAAAGGCTCACTCTCAAGCACAACTAAGAGCCTGCGGAGACCAGTGACCTCTGAGGAGCCCTTTTTAAACTATTAAGGGCTTCTACCAGAGCCTCTTCTCCAGCCACAAGGCAGCTTTTAAACACCTTGCAGTCTTCTCCCAAGCCTTGTACCAAATGGAAATAAAGCTTTGTGCAACTAAAAAAAAAAAAAAAAAAGCAGAAATGAATTTAGATTTTGTGCCCTAGAAATCCTGACCCAGTTGGAAACCAAGAGGCTGGGCAGCATGTTGTAGACTCCTAGTTCCAATGCAAGAGTTAATGTGGTTTGCCTGGCTTGTAAGGCAAGTTAGAAAGGCAAAGGCTAAAGCAGACAAAGACCTGCTTCCTCACCCTGAGCCTATAGCTGGAGGATTGAAGCTGGCCTCCTGCAGAATCTCAGACTTAGAGTCCCTCTCTCCCTCAGCATCCATATTGGCTTAGCATAGCAGTAATTAGATATTTTTCACGAATGACAGTTATAACTGTTAGCTTCTAGACTACAGAGCTAGGTGAGTCATTTTGGAGATGTATTGCTGTTTTCTTCTTTCTGTGTTCTGATTGCTTTTATGGTATTTTGCCCGTGGGGTTGTGGCCTGGTGTTCTTTCCAGTAGGGGCCCTCCCCCTCTACCAGATATCTTCTGCCTGTGCTCACCTCTGAGTTCTAACTTGTGTCTTGGCAGGATTCTAGAACCTGCTTGTGCTTTCTGTCTGGTTTGGTTCTGTTCCAGCCCCTCTCTTAGCCTGTCATTTTCCTTTAGTGTCTGGTGTAGGCTGGACATTGTCTGCCTGTGCAAGCAGTGCGTGGCCATGCGAAGTTCCTCAGCTGTGCCCTGTTTTGCTTGTGGGCAGGAAGGCCAAAGGATGCTTGTGGAGGAGACATAAAATAATATTTTACAGAGAGAGTTATAAAGGTACCATGGTGGTATGTGTTATAAAGGGAAACTTCTATGCTTAGAGTTTTGGGTCTTATGCTGGAAGATGCTGGTTTATTTCAGGAATTTAGAAGTTGGAAATGTGTTTTGGATGAGCTCTCCAACCTCACGGAATTTGCATTTTGCTTTCTGTTTGTGCAGCTATTGTGACTGACGTTTTCCAGGGTTCCATGAGGATCTTCACTAAAAAGCTTCCTCATCCTGATTTGGTGAGTTAGTTGAGTCTGTGTCTTAGGCTGATATATACTGCCTCAGGGGACTAAAGAGAGACAAAGCTGCTCGTCCCTTGAAGAGATGCACCTGCCTTGCCTGTGCACTGTCTGGGTGTTAGAGGTTGGACATAGGCTGCTGGTTTAAGTGGTCTGGCTTCTAGGTGGTGCTGAAGTGTTTTCAGAATGCTCAGCTAAGCTTTCTGGGTAGTCTGAGAGCCTTTTAAATAGTTGGGTGCATATCTTTCTTTGAAGAAAGGTACTTGTGGGTTCTTGAATTGGTCTAACCAGGTGGTATTGCTGCACAGAGAACTGCCCCATCTCATGCACCCCTCTTCATTCCCTTCAGATGAAGGAAATGTCAGGGTAAAAAACATTTCTCTTCCATCTGTGGGCCTCTGTGTTGCTCACACTCTTCCCTTCAGCGTGCGCTCCTTCCTTTCTTTTTCTTCTCCCTCATTTCTAGCCAGCAGAAGAAAAAGAGCAGCTGCTCCATAATGACGAGTACCAGGAGACGATGGTGGAGTCCACTTTTATGTATCTGACACTGGACCTTCCTACTGCCCCCCTCTACAAGGACGAGAAAGAGCAACTCATCATCCCCCAAGTGCCACTTTTCAACATCCTGGCCAAGTTCAATGGCATCACTGAGAAGGTACCCTTTGCACACCTGCCCTGCTAATACTCACCCTTGCTTTCTTGTGACTTTTAAATTTTCTTTTTATCTTTGAGAATCACACATGTATGTGATGTATTTATTCTAGAGTATCAATATATTGTCTTGATGGAGTCTCCCATACTCCCTGGTATTTCTAGCTGGTCAACCTCAACTCTTTAATTTATAGTACTTCTTCCTGTACTTGTCCTGTCTCCATTTTAGGTTTTCTGCTTGCCTCTGGGTAGTGTAGAGAAAGGAGGGGTGTCTAGGATAATAGAAACTCACAAAAATAGGGAAACTTTAAGAAAATGTTATAAGAAAAAGTATTAGATAACATTTTAGAACTAAAATATAAATACAATTAAATAATTTATCATAATATGTATATTACTCTATCAATGTAAAAGTTT